CAGTAGATTATGATTAATTAACCTTTATGGGCTGACCTCAAGACAATGCTGGTCACATATGGGGTTTCCAAACATTTAAAAATGTTATCATTGCCCCATAAGGGACCCCCACTCTGTGGAGTAGGATCTGTTGTTTATCTCAATAAAACCTTCTTGTAGTTTGTTTGCTCTCTTCATTCCTGTGAGAAGCCAAGAACCCACTTGGGAGTTCAGGGGGTTTTCCTCCCTTCATTGGGGCACCCCCTGCATCATCTGCATATTTCATATGGTATTTGGGACCATTGAAATGGAGATGGTCTGGGAAGAGGGCTGAAGATAAAGCCTGAGCCAATCAGCATCTGAGGGAGGCAAGAGGAGAACCTGCAAACTGGGGTGTTATCAGTCAAGAATATTTCAAGAAACTATTAATTGTATATTAAGTGCTGTGGAGAGGCTGGGTAAATAAGATGAGGGCTTTGGAATTTCCCCTGGGGAAGCCATCAGCGACAGACTCAACAATGGAGTGGTTTGTAAAGGTAGTTGGAGGCCAAGAATGCATGTTACCTTAAAAAAAGAAAAAAGGTATAATTGTTCAGGTCCCTAACTTTACCAGGGACTTGCTGAAGAACTTAGGATTTTTGAGCCCTAAATATAAAAATAAAACAACCACTCTTCCTTGCAGTTGTGAAAAAGCACTACCTGGAAACAGTTAAGCTAATGTAAGCTGTAGAAGCATAGAGAATAGACATTCTAAAGCAGGATAAATAATTTTCCCCTTTGAGACACTGAGACAAAGGGCAGGCTTTGACACAATCTTTTCAGTCTCTCTCTAAATTGAATGGTTAAGCTCTTTTACACTGAAGCTTGCAACTAGGTTTGTCCAGGACCCCCTACTCCACATACAATAACAAGCAGTTTCAAACCAGGGTGTAAGGTATTTGATACCTAAAGCATTCTCATGATTACAATGAGTAACCAAACTCCACAGCTTGAGAAATTGTTAGAACCCCTCAGATCCCTTTCTTTGAGAACATGAGCCTGTGAAATTATCTATCTTTGATCCAATTTGGCTTTCTCCTCCCTTCCCAGTTCACTGAGCATCACACAAAAATGATTGCCGGAGCACCACAGCACTAAATCTGGGACGTTAGGAAACCGTTCTAGAGAATAAAGAAGCTCCCTGGGTATCTTCCACTCTTCACTTCAGAGCAGCTACCTTGATTAAATTGTTTTAGGATATCCAGTTGTTTCACTAACCCTTCAGGAGACTGTTCTCCCCCACACAGACATATAATACGTACTTTGAACATTTATCAAAATTAAAAAACAAAATTTGATTAACTGAGTGAGACACAGTGAAAGTCAACCTCTCTGCAAGAGTAGAACCTGCCCCTCATTTTCAGCCTTTGGAAGGAAGGGAGGCAGAGAGCCCCAGGTAAGCTAGTTCAGACTGCTAAAGCAGGAACGGGAGCCAGTTCACAGAGCAAAGGCTTTTTGAAAGGAGAAAAGCAGATTCTATTCATGTTACATGACCTCTTTGCACCTCTACTTACTCATCTGTGAATAGGTGTTTTTGTTTTTGGCTATGCAGGATTATTTAAACAATGTTTTGTTTTGTCTTTGAGACATGGTCTCACTGTGTTGCCTGGGCTAGAGTGCCGTGGCATCATCCTAGCTCACAGCAACCTCAAACACCTGGGCTCAAGCGATCCTCCTGCCTCAGCCTCCCAAGTAGCTGGGACTACAGGCATGCGCCACCATGCCCGGCTAATTTTTTCTATATATTTTTAGTTGTCCGATTAATTTCTTTCTATTTTTAGTAGAGACGGGGTCTCGCTCTTGCTCAGGCTGGTTTCGAACTCCTGAGCTCAAACAATCTGCCCGCCTCGGCCTCCCAGAGAGCTAGGATTACAGGCGTGAGCCACCGTGCCCAGCCTATTTAAACAATGTTTGAAAGTGCCTGGCCCATAGTAAGTTGTTTTATAACATGGGAACCGTTTTTCTTTTTACTTCCTACCAAAGCACTTGCATTGTAGGGCAAAAGGCCCAAATTAAAGAGATCTAGTTTAAAAAAGAGATATTGTGGCCAGGCGCAGTGGCTCATCCCTGTAATCCTAGCACTCTGGGAGGCCGAGGCAGGTGGATCGCTCAAGGTCAGGAGTTCGAGACCAGCCTGAGCAAGAGTGAGACCCCCGTCTCTACTAAAAAATAGAAAGAAATGATCTGGACAACTAAAAATATATATATAGAAAAAATTAGCTGGGCATGGTGGCGCATGCCTGTAGTCCCAGCTACTTGGGAGGCTGAGGCAGAAGGATCGCTTGAGCCCAGGAATTTGAGGTTGCTGTGAGCTAGGTTGAAGCCACGGCACTCACTCTAGCCCAGGCAACAAAGCGAGACTCTGTCTCAAAAAAAAAAAAAAGAGATATTGTGGCAGACAAGTGCTAAGGTGCCTCCCCGTAAACCCCACCCCACTTCTCGGTGTTCTTCCTTTGTGTAATCCTCTCAGTGGCTGTGGGCAGGACCTGGGACGATTCTGTCCCGCTGGCAGCCTGGCTCTAGACACTTGCTGAATTAAGTAGCAATGAAGGATGCCCCAGGTGGCAAGGAACTGCAGGTAGGCCTCCAGCCAACAACCATTAAAGAAGTTCTAGTAAGAAGGCTGGAGCCGCAAGGAAATGAGCTCAGCCAACAACCTGAGTGAGGTGTGCAGTGAGTTATTCCCAAACCACCAGATGAGAATGCAGCTCGGCTGGCACCTCGTTGCAGCCTTATGAGACCATGAGACACAGCTAAGCTGTGTCCAGACAGAAAACTGAGATAAACTTGTTTTAAGCCACTAAATTTGCGGTAATTTGTTACACAGCAGTAGATTATACAGGTACCGTCACCTTTCCACTATCCCAAGTTAACATGTTAACTTCATGACAACTGTATCATGTGCCAGCAAAATCATCTAAACTATCCCAAAGCAAACCTAAATCCCAACAGTAGTATGGCTAATAAGGAGGCAGACCCAGGAATTTGAGAACCCGGGTCTGACCCTAATGGCAAAACCCACCCATTGAGCTTTTACAGTTTCTCTCAAGACTCAATGATGCTTCCCACTATGCCCACAGACAATAATAAAATAATCAGACATCAAGAAGTACTGTAACATTTTGTTCTTCATTGTCAAAACCATCTTACCCACTGCATTATTTTGCACATCAGTTAAAATGTGTTTTATTTTAAAATCTTTATTTCTCAGTAAAAAGGATTTTCCCCCTCTCCTGGCCTGTTATAATTCTAAGGGCTTAAACTGAATATCTGTGAAGACCAAAACCATTATTCTTACCCAAGTCCTTTCAAACAAAGCCACAAAACAGCTCCTTTTATTTTCTAATAAGACTAAATTTATTCAATACCCTAGTAAAAGTTTTGATTATAAGTATCCAACAGTATAAAAAGTACAAAACAGATCTGTAGATTTCTAATATATTAATACAAAGTGCATGACTACATACAGTACATCCTACAGGCAAAGAGAGGTGGAAGGGAAAAAAGAAGACTGTGGTCGAGGTCTAGTAATAAATAAATAAATACAGAAGTAGAGATGATCCATATTATAGTATATTCTACCACCAATACTGCAGCCAAAATGTACAAAAAAAAAAAAACCATTTCAAAATAACTCAGGAGGATGATAATGGCTGGACTCTTGTAATTCACCTCAAAGGCTGTAAGAAAGCCGACCCAACTAGCTAGCTGTGCAGTCTGTGCATATGGTGGCTTATAGCATATAGCTTTTTTCCAAAAGGAGGAAATATAAAATGTCTAGATTAAGAACTATAAAACTATAGGGTGTCCATAAAAAGTGGCTCACTCCTTATTGTTATACTACCCAATTTTTAAAATCCAGTTTCAAAAATAAGCACTGAGCCATGTCATTATAAGGCAGGCAAATGCTCCTCCCTCATTATGAAAATAAGTCTGAACTGGTGATATTTTTCTCCTGAACTTTTAGAACAGAGGCAAGAAGAGTACTTTGGTTTGAGTTCAAGTGAGAGGCTTTTAATGAGGATTTTAGAATTGAAGAACTCCAAGTTCAGGATATCTCAATGTTCAGAAAGCCTGACTAACAGAAGCCAAACCAAAACCAACCCACTTAGCATTAACACACACCTCTTTCCTTTTAGTAAATTTTACTTTAAATATAGAGTGAAGAACAAAAAAAACCCTAATAGGTTAAAACAAGTCAAACATCCACTCTACACAGATAAAACCTTCACAAAGGTCAACTGAAGTAATCCAGAGCTAAAACTGAATTGTGCAGATTTTCAGTGAAGTCATCAACAGTCATGTAACACAAACAAAGTCAATTATTTACATAGTCGGCAAGCCCTCTAAGAAATACGCCCCCAAAAGCATCAACCTTTGTTTTGTGCTATCCTGAAGACTTGAACATTTTATTTTTCAGACAGTTTAACATTTTTAATGGAGTATGCTGTCTACCATGTGGTAATGCTTTGCTACTACTCATCTAGGGTCTCACCTATCCTAAAGACTTGCCATTTCCCCAAGAAGAGCTTTCATTCTGTTTTAGAAATTTCACATAAATTAAAATCTTTATCAAATATTAATATGAAGGGAGGTGGTGCAGGATACAAAATATACAGTCAAGTTACCTCTCTGTATATTTAGAAATTACTTTTTCTTTCAAGGTATTTGTAACAGAAAGCTCAGTCTGTCCTGCTTAATAATCAGTAGTACAGGTTTGAATCATCAGAACCTTGGCAAGACCTTAATATTTCAAATATTTCAAAATTATTAACAATTACCTCTAGGAGCAAGTCCATGTTATTGAGTTATGACAACTTTATTAACATGAGGGAAAACAAGTGCAGCCAGCCATCTTAAAATATGCCCCAACCACTGCTTCTCAATATAGAAAGACTAAAACTACATACTGTGTATCATACAAGAAATCCCATCACTGTCCCCTGAAATTCCCCTTAGTTTCATTCATTAGAAGGGGATTTAAAAAAAAAAAAGAAGAAGACTTAAAGAGCACTTTACAGCAGCATTCAGCTTTCCTATGAAATACTCAGCATCTTAAATATTATATACAATTCTTTTTTTAGTAAGCTAGACACTGGCTTCAGAGTTTGTGGAACCGGGGGGAAAATAACCCATTTGAAACTATTCTAGAAGTTGTCTTTTGGCAGAATAGCAGGTATCCAAGTTAAAAATAGGAGGGTCAGCTTGTTGCTTTGTGGTCTTTTCAAAACTTAAATCATTTTTTGTTCCCCTTCTACACAAAAACCTCAGTCACCACTCCTGAGTGGAGATGGGCAGAGGCTCTGGGCCCTGCTCCTCCGGCTTCTCAGCAGCAGCTTTCTTATTGCTGCAGCAAGGCTTGAATAGATGTGTGTCGATGAGGACTTCCCCAAAACGGCCTTTATAGATAATCCCACAACATATTTTCTGTCTAAAAGAAAAAGTAGAGAACAAAATACATTAATAAGACAGAAGAATAGGAATACCAAAAAAAAAAAATCTATTCACCATAATAACTAGTCCAACATAACCAAAGGACTCCACTTCTACAATCTGATCACATTCCAACTGAAAGGGCTCCTAGGCCTTTCTCTTAGCTAGAAAATTAGTTAGGAAATGGGAGCTACCCCAGGTCCCTTAAATGCCACACTGGAGTCTTCTCAAACAATTAAGGGGGAAATATGCATCTTGAGAGACAGCAGTTTCAAAGGCTGCTCTTAAAGTTGTTAACTCTATTTCCTCCAAAAATCCATCAGTTCTTGCAGGGGAAAAAAACCAGCCACCATAAACAGGCGATGCAGCCGGTGGTTATTTTAATTAAATACTGAGTAGATAAAAATATCTACTATATATATATATATATTATCAAATATACATAAAGGCATAAAAAATAGCAAAACCACTCATCGATCACATACTTTAAAGGAAAAAAAGATCATTTCGGCCGGGCGCGGTGGCTCACACCTGTAATCCTAGCACTCTGGGAGGCCGAGGCAGGCGGAATTGTTTGAGCTCAGGAGTTCAAAATCAGCCTGAGCAAAAGCGAGACCCTGTCTCTACTAAAAATACAAAGAAATTAATCGGACAACTAAAAATATACAGAAAAAATTAGCCGGGCATGGTGGCGCATGCCTGTAGTCCCAGCTACTCGGGAGGCTGAGGCAGGAGGATCGCTTGAGCCAGGAGTTTGAGGTTGCTGTGAACTAGGCTGACGTCATGGCACTCTAGCCCGAGCAAAAGAGTGAGACTCTGTCTCAAAAAAAAAAGATCATTTCCTGTGGAGGCCCCTCCAGGCCTCTCTCCAGTCCCATCCCACCTCATCTCAGTTTCTCCTCTATTAATTTTAGGTTTTTTTACTCCCTTATTTCTTTATATTTAATACCTCGTGGTTTTACTATATTGTTTGCAACTCTAATCATACTGCATAATTATTCATTATACATACACAGATCCTACTGTATTCTGTAATTTTTTGCTTAACATTAAGTAATCGAGATTCATACATATTGTTATAGAGCTTATAACTTATGTATGAGATTCCACCATGTGAATATATATACCAGTTTTATTTATCCACTCTCATTTTGATGAATTTTGCTATTATAAGGACAGCTTTACACATCAGTGTATACGTCCTAAAAATTTTTTCTAGTTTATATTTCTGGGATATAGGAATGGAAACATCTTCAACTTTACTCAAAAATGGCAATTATTAATCAGCGTGGTTAAAACTATTTACACCCATAACCAACAGTGTTCTCATCACTCTATACGCTAACATTTGGTAACAGAGTTTGTTTTAGTTTTTACCAATCCAATGGGTATAAAATGGAATCCTGCAGAAATTTTAGTTTGTATTTCCTTAATTATCAAAAAGTTTGAACATGTTTTCATTTAATGGGTTCTTTCTTTTGTGTGATACCTTTTCGAGTCTTGCGCCCAGTTTTCTATAGTTTGTCTTTTTCTTCCCTTGTAGGAGTTGTTTATATATTCTAGATACTAATCCTTTGTCACAAACACGTGTTGGATATCATTTCACTTTTTATGGTGTCATTTGATCAATTTAAGTTCATAATTACAATGTAATCAAACCTGGTGTCTTTTCTTTTACACTTAGTACTTTGTCATAAGAAATCCTTTCCCACTCAAAAGTCATATTCTGTTTTCTACTTTAATGCATCTGTAATTGATGTTTTGTGTATGGTGTGAGGCATCCAAGCACAATTTTTCCACATGCATAACCATGTTGTCTGCAATAACCTAGCAACATTTATTCAACAGTCCATTTTCCCTCACTGACCTCCCCGCCACTGTGTATCACATAACAAGTTTCCGTATACATGTGGGCCTATTCTTTGTTCTGTATTCCATCATCAATGGTTTATTTTCCTATAACTGGCTAGTCCAAAGACCCATTATATTAATTACTATGGTTTTGTAATGTCTTGATTTCTCTTAGGGCATGTATATCCACATCTTGCTTATTCTTTCTCAAGATAGATGACTATTTTGGGCCCTCTGCTTTTCTATATAAATAGTAAATCTAGCTTGTCAAGTGCCCCAAATATGTTGGGGTTTTGACTGCAATTGCCCTGAATCTATTAAGTGATCATCTTCATAACATTCAGTTTTACAATATCCATGAATGTGTATACACCTCTATTTATTTAGGTATGTTTAAAAGTTATTCAGGCCAGGCATGGTGGCTCACGCCTGTAATCCTAGCACTCTGGGAGGCCAAGGCAGGGAGATTGCTTGAGCTCAGGAGTTCAAGACCAGCCTGAGCAAGAGCATGACCCCATCTGTACTAAATAATAGAAAGAAATTATCTGGGCAACTAAAAATAGAAAAAATTAGCCAGGTGTGGTGGAGTAAGATTCTGTCTTAAAAAAACAAAACAAAACAAAACAAAACAAAAAAACCTGTCTTATGTCTTGTTCATAAAAGATACTTTTGCTATAATTCTAAGTTAAGATTTATTATCTCTTGGCTCACTGAAGATATTAATCTATTGTTTTCTGGCTTCCTTTGTTCATGCTAACAACTCTAGCTTTGTGCATTTGTTGTTCCTTTGAAAAGAATGTATTTTCTTAAGCCAAGCCCAGTGGTGCACGCCTGTAGTCCCAGCTACTCGGGAGGCTGAGGCAGCAATGCATGAGCCCAGGAGTTCAAGGCCAACCTGGGCAATGGAGAAAGACTCTATCTCTTTTTTTAAAGAAAGAGAATATATTTTTTTACTGCTTACAGATCTATTAATATTTTATTTTTCATATTCTATAGATTCACTATGATGTCTATGGTAAAATTTTTTATTATCTGACTTTTAATTTCAATTTATTAGTCTTCCCGAATCTGTAATCCAGAAAATTCTAAACATTCTCTTTGAAAGTATTTTTCCCTATCCTAGTCTGTTATCTTTTTGGACTGTAGGGCTGCACAGATTGATTCAGCATTTGGCATCTTAATATTCCTTATTAAGTTACCCACCGATCAATGACACCTTTAAAGACTTTAAAAAGTATGTTTCTAGCACACTTATATTTTCTTCAGAGGGAGATGACAGTCAGAATATCTAGTTTACTCCATGATAGGAAATTTAGGTACCTTGATGTGATTTTTATTTTAAATTAATTTTAATAGGAAGAACATACAAAATCCCAATTCTCTGCTCAATTACTGCTCAATCCACTCCAATCATGTGTGCTACCAGCTGTTTGCCAAATGCCATTTAATTGCTAAGGAAGCAGGAAACCACTGCCTATAATTTAAGATGGTTTGCTGATTAGACATTTTCTGTTGCCTTTACCTTTTCCAGTATGTGAGATCTAAAAAGGAAAAAACTGGTGTTCTATTAGAACCAGAAGCCATCTCTGTATCTGAGCCATCATCTGACTGGTTACTGTAACATGGAGACTGAGCTGGGGAGGCACTTGAGGTGGTACTGTGAGCATCAGAATCTGCAATAAAGATAAAAAAGAAATTTTCAATTTCATTACTTGTAATTGCAACTAAACCTCAGCATAGGACATTGTGAATGAGTTGGTAAAAAAGAAGAAAAAGTAAAAAAGAATTTATTTTCTATGCACTACTGGTATTTGAAGATATCTGGACTAAAGTGTATTTTAAAAGAAAATGAGGGCTTCTGCTTCTAGGAAGATGGAGTAGACATACTTTCTCCCTACTCCTCCTGCTTACAGAACTAAAAACCCTGGATATTATATTAACATATACAACAAACCAAAGACTCTGAAAGGTGATGACCATCTAGGGAGCTTGAGACCCAAGGAAAGATGTGGTGAGTTCCTCAATTTTTCTGAATTTTCTTTTGCCTCACAAATCCCAGCCTTGGAGGTGAACCAGCAGCAACCCAGAAATGCCAACGGGTGTGACCAAAAACAAAAAACCTAAAACCCCAATAAAAGCCTGCTCTTTCTAGCCAAAGAACCAGGAAAAGGGCATCCGAGCAAGACAGGAAACTTTTCTTAGACAATATCACTCTGCTCCAGCCAAACACCACAAAAAAACTGTGGCCATCCCTTACCCACGCAAGCAAAGCTGAGGTAGGGAGCTTAGATTTCTGCCCTCACGAGACTGTTATGAAGCACAACACCTCCACCAGGGTGGTGTCAGAGCAAGCCTAGTGGCGAGTCACTAAAAACAAGAACACCCTCACCATATGGGAGCCTGAACTCCCCCCACCCCCCTCATGCAAGCAGTAACAAGGAACACCCCATGACACATACAGATATTAATGGAAGCTGAGTGAGAAATCAGACTTCTAGCACCACCTGGCAGTAACAAGGTGGTGGTGGCCCTCTCCATTCTCTGCACTTAGTTAGGGGTGTCCAAAAAAGCCAGTTAAAACAGAAGGTTTAAATAAGATCCAGCGTCTCACAACATAATCTGAAAATGTCCAGGTTTCAATCAAAAATAACATCATTTGGCCAGGCTCGGGGGCTCATGCCTGTAATCCTAACACTTTGGGAGGCCGAGGCAAGAGGACTGCTTGAGGTCAGGAGTTTGAGACTAGTCTGAGCAAAAATGAGACCCCATCTATACCAAAAAAAAAAAAAAATCCTAGCCAGACATGGTGGCACACACCTATAATCCCAGCTAATCAGGAGGCTGAGGCAGGAGGATCACTTGAGCCCAAGAGTTTGAGGTTGCAGTGAGGTAGATGACACCACTGCACTCTAGCCTGGGCAACAGTGTGAGACCCTGTCTCAAAAAAAAGAAAAAGAAAAAAATTCCATCATTCCAAGAACCAGAAAGACCTCAAAATGAATGAAAAGGCAAGTACATGCCAACACCAAGATGACAG